TCGTTTGTTTAGGCTAAGCGGTTTCGCGCCTACGAGCCTACTTGGCTACAGGGCTAACTCCAACGCTAACCGTAACCCCGTTTTAAGGCTGGTTTTCACTAGCGACAGAGTCGGAGTCGTAATCAGAAGCGTAGAGCGATACGATCGAGTGAAAATCAAACCGACGGAGTCAAAAGCAGAACACTGATTCCGCTTATGACTCTGTCGTTTATGATTTAATGAAAACTAGATTGTCGGAGTCGCAAGCAGAATAAACCAATCGCAATGCTTGATTCCAGATGTCGTGATTGGCTGGTTCTTCCGCTTCTGTTTCCGACTCCGACAACCTAGTTTTCACTGGATTATAAGGGACGGAGTCGTAAGCGGAATCGGAAGAAAATGGAAACGTTCTGATTCTTCCGACTCCGATTGTTGATTTTCACTAGGTGGTAAGCGTTCTTACGACTTCGTCCCTAGTGAAAACCAGCCTTTAGAGCGTGTATATTACTGAAGTGGCCCAAGCGGCTCGTAACCGTGTAGCCACTGTTTTGGACGTATAGCTTCAAAGTGGCCGGGTATTTTGGAGTTACACCCAGAGATAATACTACTTCTGGTTTTCATTTCGATTTCCACCGTGTCAAGGCGCACGTACGAGTTACGTGACAAAGGTTCCTCCATGGCGTGACAAGTTCTCTCCGATTGTGTGACTGAAGGCGAGTCCTTTTTAAGCGGCGCGCCGGTAACGTAAGCGTGAATTCCTCTCTGATTAGATCAGATGTGTTGTGGTGTTTCCAAACCAACTAGAAGGCGGTACATGGAGGCAGGCATCGTCTTCATACGAATCTGGAGAGAGAGAACGTGAATCAGTCATCATAAAACAATCTCTTCTTTTCTCCTCAATTCAGTTGTAAGAAGAAGGGTAAAATAAAGGATGTTGTTGTTGTCTCTTCTCATCGTCTTACAATGTTTTCAGTTAGTTACACAGGAGAAGCACGTCACGTTATTCAAAAAGAACGTTAATACTGAATACTAACACAAGGACAACGCGGACAGTGCGTGGGTAACACGTGATTAGCACACGCACAGCATCATAACGCCACTTACCTCTCCCACTGTAGTGGCCAGGAGTTCCACAATATGCTGGTGTGACGTCGCCACCACACTCTCGCCATTGATCTCAATAATCCTGTGACCGACTCGAACACCTCCTCTCTCCGCTATACTGCCACGCATTAGACTACAAATCTAAACAGGATGAGAGCAATAATCGACTGATAAATCGTTGTCGGTAAGTCAGGTTTGTCCATCTACACGTTCTATTAATGATTCCCCTCCCCGCCCGCTTCAAAGACGGGTTCTTAACGACAAGACCAGTAGGCTTTTGTTTTTAAAGGAAAGAAAATAAAGAAAGTAACGTAGGAAAGCTTTCACAAAACATTCCGACAAGAGGGTAGAGATCGGTTCACAAATGGAATGCCCAATCTCAAAAACGTCCAAAGCCACATCTTCTTCAGCAAAACTTGTTTGTGTACGACAAAACAGTACGACGAATTCAAAGCGACGCTCAGAGACACAATAACTGATCCGCCGTCTTGAGAATCTTCCGAGCGCGAGTTGGCTTGATGAGTTATCTGTGCACCCACAGACCCCGATCTTATCTCCAGCATGACTAGATGGTCCTCGTCGTTACGACGGACGAACAACACTGACGCGAATTAAAAAATCTTGTGATTTTTCGGGTTTGGACCTTAAATAGGGCATCCATTTTCATTTGCTTCATCCTTTACCCTATGAAAGGTCAGGAAGTACTCACCCGGGAGTGATTTGCTCTCTTAGTAATAGTTTTAGTCATTAGCAAGGCGCCTTATAGAGAATACTGCTTTACCATTCCATTCTGCACACTGAATCCCAGTTGATACTTGGTATCCGGTCTGTTAACCACAACTTGTACAGTCGGAGGACACGACACGATCTTCATCACGACCTTAGTGGTTGGGCGGATACTCTGTAAATAAAAACAAAAACACTCAGTTACATTCAACGAAATCAAACAACACTTAAGTTCAACCTCTTTTCACATTGTTCTGTTTGTAAAAAAATATCTTCCCTCGAAACCCAGAGGAGCATAGATGTACTCGCAATGAAGTGCTCGTGCATCACGATTGAACAAGAATATGGAGTGTTGGTTTTTATGGAGGAAGAAAAACCAGAGAGTCCAAAGAAGAACCCTCGAGACAAAGACAAGAACCAACAACAAATTCGACCCACTCATGTCACCAGATCCAGGATACGAACACGGGTATGAATACTGGAGGAGGCGAGTGACTGGCCAGCCAGGTCAAGTGCTCAAGCCCTTTTTTTGTGGAGAGGGAGGAGGAGTAGGATTCATCTACTTTTAACCTAACATCATTTTATACTGTCTAAACTCACATCATTACCTTGATAATATTCTGACACTCTAACAAAGGGAGACCGACCAAACTTGTACCGTTGACCGAGAGGATCTGGTCACCAACATTGAGTCTGCCAGACTTGGCCGCTGGCCCGTCCTTTGCCAGATGCGCAATAATGGCGCAAGGAATCATGGATCCCCAACCTGACTCTACGATCATGACACCAAGCATTTCAGCCGGCTTTTTATTGACAATCACCTGAAACAAAACAAAGATTGTAGAAACAAACAAGGAAGGAACGTTAAGGGCCCATTAACCGATCTTTTCGA